CGAATTTAAACCGACAGCATCCGATTTTTTTTGACATGTTTGAAAATTATCGGGAGGACGGGAGGAGCTCGTAACATTTCGGATCGGATAGGGTTTTTGTTAATATTTTGAATTGTTTTATTTTTATATTTTCTGTTTTCATTTTCAGTTTAGTTTTATTAATCATGTTGTGTGTTATTATTATTATTATTATTATTATTAAGTACTATTATATAGTTTTTAGTTTTAATTTAATATATTGTTATTTTAACAGTTTTAGTTTTATACATAATCTGAAAATATCTGTTTTCCACTTGAATTGATTCATTTAAAAGTAGATATTTGGCTTTCTATAGATATCATTTTCATGTCTGTGAGGCAAGCACAGAGTTTCTGTTAATTTTTTTTTTTTTTTTTTACGTGCTCAAATTCATAGAGACCAAGACGGCAGAAAGCGCACCCTGTTTGCTTTCATTGTTTTACAAAAGCACAACTTTCTGTTGTTATTGTGAGTGCACACAAATAAAAGTAAACCTTTTACAAATTCGAAAGATGTATTACTCTGTAAGAGCAAAAATTACAGAGTATTTTAAGTTAAATGCAAATGATCGCACCAGCGCCTCTTCTCGTCGACTATTGGATACAGCAGTAAAAGGCAGCGTCTGTCGCAGACGTGATGAAACACACACTCACCTTTGCGATGTCGTACATGACAGAGATCTTAACCTCCAGATCCATAAAACTCTCGTCAGGATATGAGATCTTATCATTCAGCACGTACTGAAGGAGCAAACACACACACACACAGAGTCATGTGATGCTTCAGCCTGTGATTTATGAGTATGATGAGTGTTTTACCCGCAGCGATCCTCTCTCGCAGAATTCAAACACCCCGAAAACACCACAGTCGAACTTCACCTTCCCGTAAAACTTCGTCAGATTGTAATAATCGATATGCAACAACTGAGAGAAAAAGAGAGGAGCTGTTATGGATTTTCAGGTGACGTATTAGATGAAAAACACAATAACCGAGGGAATCCTCACAGAAACATATTCATGTCGCATTTCATCAAAGAAAATGAATCCCGTTTTTAGCAGTTTATTATTATTTACATGACACTTTCTCCTCATCTGTCATATTTCACTTTTGTAATTCTCATTATTCTCAATGGAGATTCTCATATTAATTATATAAAGCAAGAAACTACTTTTATATTTTTTTATTTCATTTTAATTTTAGTTTTAGCATTTTTTTGTTCTTTTTAAATGTCTGTATAGCTTTTATAAAGTTTCAGTGTTTTGTTTTAGTTTATTTAGTTTTAGTTATAGGTATTTCAACTTGAAAAAATGAAACAAGCTGAAATGTTTTTTTATATATATATTTTATTACAAGTAATGAAAATAATTTTAATGGTTTTAGTTTAAGATAAATTGTAGAAATTATATAGAGCAAGTTTTTTTTAATTTCATGACACTTTCATGGATGGAGGGATGGGTGGAGGGGTGGATGGATGGATGGAGGGGTAGGCAGATGTGAATAGATAGATAGATAGATAGATAGATAGATAGATAGATAGATTAGATTTTAATAGATTTTACTCACTGTTGCTGTGTCGGTTCTGATCTTTCAGCTTGTCTTCCAGGTCCTCTTGGCTCCTCAGCATCTCTCTGGATATGTTGGAGGCGAACAGAGCGGACGGCGCCTCCAGAGCGTTGATGTACCTGACAGACGAACGGACAGAAGGGCATCTCAGTGTGTGCGTCTGTGTTGTGACGTGTTGTCATTTATATGTATTATTGTGAATACCAGAAACATTCCTCCGTGTTGTTGAGTTTTTTATAGATATACACCGTCTTCCACACAGGTTTCAGATTGGGGAAATACGCGTGCCAGAAATGGACGAAGAACTCTGAGATTCTGCGTGCCGGAGGAAGCAGCCGGGTGAGTTTCTCCTTGTTGTCGCAGGAAAGACCGAAACTGCCTGCTGAGATGATGGGGATAGTCAGAGTCAGACCGACCTCCTGACTGACAGACAGACAGACAGACAGACAGACAGACAGACAGGTCACTGAAAATAGTGCCACGACTTACTACAAGATACTGAACTAGATTTCACTCTGTAAAGTGTCTAATGCAGATAAATCATTACATTTATTTATGGATGTTTGTGTTTTTATTATAATATCCTCATTCATTACCATTGCAGTTTAATATAGAATTAGCTATATAGGGAAAAAACTACTAATTTTACATAAATTTTGTTGTTATTGAAATTATCACCATTTCTTCTGCTTCTGCTTGTTCAAAAATGTTTTATTTTTTTGTGAAAATACTGTTGTTGGCCAGTGTTGAGTATAATGCATTACAAAGTAAATAATTATTGTAATTAATTACCTTTCCTTTGAAAAAGTAAAGTAAGAGATTACTCTCAATTGTCTGTAATTTAATTACAGGTTCTTCTGATGTAATCATGTTAAATACTGTATAGACTACAGAACAGTTCTATACAAAATTGTGTATTTAACATGAAAATTTAACGTCTAAAATTAATATGCATGTTTTTAACAACCTTTGATACTTTAAGAAAAAATGTATGCAATTTTCTGTTATTAATTTGAAATCGCCTAATGTCTATCCTTGTATTTTTTCATATTGTTATCAACAAATATTAGCAATTAATCGTCAGCAGTTCCATGAGGACGGTTTTGATAGCAGGTCATTTCAAGGCTGATTTTGTCCAGTTTAAGGTTTTAAAAGTAGTTTTACCTTTTCTGAAGTACAGACAGGCTTAAATTTATGTTTCAATATGTGAAGCATAGGTCATATAGCTACAAAATATATGTATGTTTACTTAAATAGTTTACTTTTACACAAATTAACTCAACAAATGAGCTTAACAGACCCTAAAACTGGGATAATAAGAATCACTTGACTGTTTTTTTTGTTTTGTTTTGTTTTGTTTTTAGGACTGCTGTCTTATTATTCTTTGCCTAGAGGACAACTTCAGTCACAAACCCCACTGTCTTCTATTCTATTCTATTCTATTCTATTCAACAAATAAATGGTTCAATATGCAACTAAATTGTTTTAAATCACTTATAGTTATTTGTAATAGTTTTACCTTTGTCTTCTTTCTCTTTTGGAGAACAACTTAAGTCACAAGTTCTATCCTTTATACAAGTTGAGAGGTGGGTCACCTTTACTAGTACTGAATTAAAAGCCCGCATGTACTTAATTTTTAATTTTCAGAACTAAACGTTCTATGAATCTGCTCACTTTCAGCCTGGTTTTTTTTTGTTTTCCTCTTCAACAGCCGTTTCCACCGCATCCTTCACAAACTTCAGACTCCAGGGCGAATTTTCATCCTCCAGCAGAACCACGTTTAACGTGACCGAGGAGTTTCTGCAGCTTAACACGTCAAACCCAGAGACACAGAGCACAGAACCGAACCAGAACCAGAACAATCCCAGCATCCCGTCCACAGTGAATGTCCTTCAAAAAGACACTGCTCGGTTTAATGCCACAGTCATTCCTGAAGCCCGTAAATCTTGATTAATTCCATCAGAAAGGTCAGATCTAACCTCCAACGACACTGTTCACATGCACACAGTCCACACGACGTCTCTGAAAAAACATTATACACCGACTGCTGCAAGAGTTTTCTGCGTTTGTGTTTCTACAGGAACCTGAAGAGGAACAGTGCACTCAGGTGTGTCTCTGCGTGTTAATGAACAACTGACAGTGAACAAACAACATCAACCTGATCTGAGAGAAAAGGGCTTCATCTCTCTAGTTTCTGCTTTCTGTTCGATCTAAGGTGACGTCTGCTGACCGTATCAATGAGCCTTAATGTAGGTCCATCAGCTGAAATTACAATCAATAAAATCCAAATGTCTCTCAAAATGTCCCATAAACTTCAAACCACCTGGTTTCAAACAATCCACAGGTGGTTTTTGTCCAATAAATCTCTGTTTCTGCTGCTCAGAATGTGGTCTGAGCGGTTCGTAAATGTTTTGGAGGACCTTGGAGGGGCCAAAGGTCCTTCGGGGCTGTAAAGCTAAATGTGTGGCAAATAGATTGTGTGCTATAAAAGCTGACAGATTGCGGCTTGTAAATCTGCTCATATAAAATCTCTTCAGAATCAGGGTTTACAGACGGATGAGAGATATGGGTGTGATGACCGTGAGAAATCAGGTCCCAGATCACAATAAGTTACCCTAAAGGTTTGGTAGATGGAGATTCTTCAATTACAGACCCTTTTACTGATTGAATCATGACAAAAGCAAAATCAAGCAAAATCAAACGATCGTGTTAAACATCGATCACAAATGGAGTAAAAATCTGATGATGGCCTTGGTCAAACATATAACGTTCCCGTTCAACTAACTAGTTAACGTCTTTGTGACAAAGAAAAATAAAATGCTTTTAGTATCATCTTGGAGTCTTCTGGGTGTAAATCAGAGAACTGTTAAATCAGGACTGACCAAAGTAGAAAAGTAAGAAAACACAGTGCAGCAGTGAGGAGTCTGTAGATTGATTTCTGGACGCTGACTGATCCACATTTACCAGCTAATGACAATGAACTCTAAAACAATTGCATGCGGCTAGAATCCATTTGGGCGTTGTTGTTGTTTTCTCTCTCCCAAACACGAGCAATCGTAAATACGTGAAGAAGTTGATATCCAGAAGTAATTGGCAGCGGTTTAGATCTGAGTTCCTGTTTAAACGCAGGACTCATGATAAACTTCTCTTCCTCTTCTGTTTGTCTAATGTTGATCTCTCAAATCCAGCCTCAGATTATAACAGGATGATGAGGTTTAGTCGAGCCTGTCTGCCGTTGGTCGTTTCCAGTGATTTCGTAACTGATTCGGCTCCAGGAACCGATTCATATTCAGGCAAAAAGAAACGATTGTTCCTTCAGGTGCTGATGTTGAATCTGCCTTTAACCCACACTGAGACAGTTCTGTGACGTTCAGTTAATATGTGACCCTGGACCACAAAACCAGTCATAAGGGTCAATTTCTCGAAATTGAGATTTATACATCATCTGAAAGCTGAATCAATAAACTTTCCATCGATGCATGGTTTGTTAGATACAACTATTTGAATATCTGGAATCTGAGGGTGCAAAAAAATCTAAATAGGCCTATTGAGAAAATCGCCTTTAAAGTTGTCCAAATGAAGTTCTTAGCAATGCATATTACTAATCAAAAATTAAGTTTTGATATATTTACGGTAGGAAATTTACAAACTATCTTCATGGAACATGATCTTTACTTAATATCCTAATGATTTTTGGCATAAAAGAAAAATCTATAATTTTGACCCATACAATGTATTTTTGGCTATTGCTACAAATATACCCCAGCGACTTGACTTACTGCTTTTGTGCTCCAGGGTCACATATACGTTTATTTTTATATTTGTGATATTTACAAAATTTGAGATTGGAGAGAAAAATATAAGTAGCCTACACAATTTCAATACTTCGTGCGCTCGCTAAACCTTTACGTTACGCTTAAAAACGTTTGCTCGCAAGAAAACTGAAATATGTTTTTTTCCTCCCATTTCATATTATTTCCATCACAAAAGGTTTGCGAGCGGACGCAAAAATATTGAAATGTTCTTTCCTTAAAAAAAAAAACATCAAGAGGAAGCACCTCAATGAATGTGAAACAATTTAGAGCCAAAGAGAAAATAGTTGACATAATTGCTTTATAATGGTTGTTAATCAAAATTTTCTTTGGAAGACAATTGAAGAGCGCTCGTGTTTCCGTGATCGGTGGATCTGTGTAAGACCGAGTATCGGTCACCAGGTGGCGCTGTAACACTGACAGCACAAAACACCTCACAGACACTCACTGACAACAGTCTGAGGTCTGCTGCTTTCACTCAACATCAGTTTCACTAATGTACACTGTAAAAAATGAGTGTGATTTTAACAGTAAAAGACTGTAAAAAAGCTACAGTAAAAACCTGATAACTGGTTAACAGTAGGTTTCCATACTGTATTCGGTGAATAAATGTAATTACATTTAATATGTAATTTTTGGGCATTATTTCAGTATCATATGTGTCACCGTGATGGGGTTTAGTGTTAGTGTGAATGACACTGTGTGCACCTTCTATATATAAGTATTGTCCTCCTCAGCTCGCAGACAAGCTGTTTGTGATGAGCTTTGGTTCATCATGTGACTTTCTCATCACCACCAGTTTTTGGTGGTTATCAGTGCATTACAATGGTTCAAAACAGATATTAACACTTCAATATATTGGTTTATTACGGTTTTTTACGATTGCGTAAGCACAATTTTGAAAACAGGGCCAGGTTTGTCAAAACACTACACACAATTAACACAACCCTACACCAAAGTAGCACAACACTTCAGATCATTTGCAAAATGGAACACTTTTGTCAAAACTATACAC